AGGTCGGCAGGGTGGTTAGTGAGGGACTACCAAACGACTGAACAAGCAGTCTGCATGGGATGACCAGGCCAGTGGTGGGGCCATGAGGGGTGACCAAGGAGGCCGGCAGTTAGGGGCAACCAAGGAGGCTGGCAGGTAAGCGATTAGGAGCCAGCAGTCCGGGATTGTGAAAGGGATGTCCGACTGCTGGTTTAGGCCTGATTCCCAGCAGTCGGACATCCCCCAAGGGGTCCCGGATTGGAAAGGATGCAGGCTGAGCTGAGGGGACCCCCCCCTCAGCACGAATTTTGTGCACTGAGCCTCTAGTCTTTATATACTGTATATAAAAGCTTAAGCTACCAGAACGACCAGAATGACTGGTCACTATGACACGCACTGGCCACCAGGGGACAGACACTCAATGCAGGAGCTGCCCCCTGGTGGTCAGTGTGCTCCCACAGCCAACCTCCCAAGGCTGGCCAACTTCCACCAATTCCTCCTCCTGGCCGGTAGGCCCTGATCACCTGATTGCGGCCAGCCCCCAGGCTGGGACTGGGAACCAGGGGTGGGTGGCAGCAGACACTGCCCCTTTCCTAGGGGGGCTGAGGGCCGGCTCCCTCCTCGGAGCCAGCGGCCAACCTCCCATGCCCTGTCCCTCCCCCCAGCTGGCAGGCCCCAATCAACCTGCCACCTAACTGCCGCGGTAGCAGCAGTGAGGGAGGAGGAGGGAGGGAGCTGGGGAACCACGCGGGGGAGGGACACTGATGATGGCCGAATCAGCATCTGGTATCCGTGCCTTCCGTGCCCAGCCTGGCAACCATTGCCTCCTCTCTGGCCTGGCTCCAATTGGCCCTGTTCGATGGCCAGGCCTAGGGACCCCACCTGTGCACAAATTCCGTGCCCCAGGCCTCTAGTAAACTAATGTTGACTAGATGTCTGGGTACTGTAGTCTAACCAAATTGATACATAAGATTAACTATCACATATCATCTTTTTTTTCAGAAGGTTAAATAATCAAACTATCTGAAAACTCTATTATGCTAAGAAATACATTATCTTTGTGTGTGTATCATGGAATGATTTAAAGGATAGTGAATTAGTAAAAATCAATATTAATGAGGTCAGTCAAAGTCTGGTTAGTCTTTATTTCTTTCAATGCTTAGGAAAGCAACTGTTACCTAGTGAGTTCGGTGTTTCCATTAGGTTTTCCCCAGTGGTTGTAATTTGCTTCCTGATTTTTATGAAACATAGCCAAATTTTATCATTATCTGATTTGTGGTACATGACGTTTTTTAAGAATGGACACATTTTAGAAACTTCTTGTAAAGGCACACAGAGCTGAATTTGCATAGGGTTCACTGGCTCATATGGATGAAAGGATGGACTCTACATATGTGATCCAGTTATTGCCTGGAGGGTAGGTTTCATTCCTGTGCACCTGTAGTTGTTTTCAGATCACAAAGCCTGTTCAGTGACTAATTCCTTAGGGCCGAACTGGAAGAAAAAGGGCAAAGGCTGTGCCCTCGGTGCTGTCTGAGGGCCAGGAGCTCATGTGGAAGGAACCAAAGAAGTCATGGGTGCTATACCTGGAGAGGCCACTTAACCAGGAGATAGTGACTCTACCTGCAGCTGCCTTCGTTCTCACTCCTCACCTCTCATTAGCCCCCATCTCTCCATTCCAGGGTTCTTACCCCTGCTGACACTGTGAGCTAGGGCTCACACTTTGGGAGTCTAATTCTAATGCCCAGCTCCTTTTGTATACCCAGAAAATGTACATTTAACAGGGGAAATGATCCTGGAAGAGAAATCCTCAGATTTCTACCATTGCCAGAGAACAAGAAACTGGATCTGGGCAAAGGGATCTTTTTTATTATTATTATTATAATTTTTATTTCTTAAAGTATTACAAAGAGTATTACATATGTCTCCTTTTTCCCCCCCCTTGACATTCCCTCAGCCCCTCCCCCCCCCCAGTGTCTTGTGTCCATTGGTTAATCTTATATGCATGCATATAAGTCCTTCGGTTGATCTCTTAATCCCCCCCAAACCCTCCCCAGGCTTCCCACTGTAGTTTGACAGTCTGTTCAATTGCTCTGCCTCTGCATCTACCCCCGTTCATCAGTCTATACTGGTCCCCATTATCTGTCCCAACCTCACTGGAGCAGTCACCGGGGCCGACCCTACCTCACCGGGGCCGCTTCAACCTCACCGGAGCAGTTTCAACCTCACCAGGGCCGTCCCAACCTCACCGGGGCCGTTTCAACCTCACCGGGGCCGTCATCGACCTCAATCGGGGGCGGATTCGTCCTCACTGGGGCCATCCCTACCTCACCGGGGCCGTTTCACCCTCACCGGGGCCGTCCCGACCTCACTGGGCCGATTCAACCTCACCCGTGGGGCAAAGGGATCTTAAGATCTTCCCCTCCATTGGGAACAGGTTGGGGTTTCTAAGCTGTGTCCCTATCAGCATCCGTCATGTATGTTCTGTGCCCTTACCTGTGGCACCTGAGGATCCATGAGGACTGTATCTGTTGGTGACTGATTTCTCAGGTCGTTCCAGGAGGAGAAGGAGAAAGATTGAGTCCTCAATTCCCAGTCAAGTACACGAAGAACCTGCTGGAAGGCCATGGGCTGCAGGTCAAGAACCACCTCCAAAGGAAGCAATGGCCATGCAGCCAGGTTTTGAAATTGGAGATTGACTCTCTTTTCTTTGTCTTCTCTTCATGTTTTTCTGTGCCAGGACTGTCAGTGCTGCTGTTGTTGCCATTGGTTTCTGCAGCCCAGAAGGATAGGGGTAAGTCTGCCCACACAGATGCCCATTAGTGATATTAAGCTGGGGGGTGCAGGCTATGGTCTGGGTCCTCTCACCAGTTGGGAGGGAAGGAGGCTTATTCTGCAAGTGAGGCTCAGAGATGGTCTCTTGGAGATAAGAAAAGCTGTTTTACCTCCCTAAATGCCCAGATTTTTTTTGTCTATTCCTCTTCCAATAGCAGCCATCCCTCCCTTATCTCCCCTCCTCTAGTCTTGAACTCACAGTTGTCCATGGCTTTATCCATTCCTTGAGCCTTCTGACCATGGCCTCCATCCTCACTGTTCCACCCCACAGCCTGTATTCGATGGTGCCCTCCGAACCCTCCATGTGTCAATGCCTACTCCTGTCACTGTGCACCGGGATTCAGTGCTGCATCAAGTAGTGTCTTCACCAGCGGCCACTTGAAGAGTTGCGATGGTACAGAGGTTTTGGGGAAAGGGGTGGAGGGACATAAAGAGATTATTGGGGTAGATTGTGGTGCATCCAGAGCAGCACAAGCATTTTGTCAAGGATTAGAGAGAGGAGACAGGGCAGGGTAGTTTGAGGGAAGTGGGCAGTTAGGTTTTTGTAATTAGTAGGAAGGCTGTTTAGAGCTTACACAATGGATCTGGGCTGTGTGGGCTCTAACTCTAGCTTTGCCACTAAGTGGCTCTCTGACCTTCAGGAAATTATTTCTCCTCTTCCTCAGTTTCCTTGTCTGTATATTGGGGATAATTATTGTACCTACCCCACATGGATGGTGTAAGACTTCATAGTTACCTGCATGAAAAAAAATTTTAAGATGAGTGCAGAGAAATTGTCAACAAATGTGAGCTATTACCATTGTTACTGCTGTTACTGTAATTATTATTTTCATTAGAGGCCTGGTACACGAAATTTGTGCACTGAGGAGGGGGATGTCCCTCAGCCCTGCCTGCACCCTCTCCAATCTGGGACCCCTCGGGGGATGTCCAACTGCCAGTTTAGGCCCGATCCCTGTGGACATCCCTCTCACAATCCGGGACTGCTGGCTCCCAACTGCTCGCCTGCCTGCCTGCCTGTTGCCCCCTAACCACTCCCCTGCCAGCCTGATCAATGCCTAACTGCTACCCTGATTGCCCCCAACTCCCTCCCCTGCAGGTCTGATCACCCCAAACTGCCCTCCCCTGCAGGCCTGGGGACTTATGGGTGATTATTTTTGTCATTATTTGATTTTCTGTGTTTTCTCAGTACCCAAATGTTATTTAATATTTGTGGAAAAGTAAATTTTATCAGGAAAAGAAAAAGATGTTGTTGTCACTAGTACCCAGCCCATTCATGACACTAGTGGTATCCCTAACGGTTTCTTTGTGCATTTACATGTGTGTGTCTCATGGGAAATTGTAGACTGGGTGGACATGGAGAGAAGATGCTACTGAGGTACCTGGATCCCAGCTCCCTTCTTGAGGGCACTTTTCAGGTTGAGGAATTTCCCACTGTCATGTATTTCCATTCCACACCTTATTCCCACTTTTCCTCAACTCTACTCCACCCCATGTCATCACACTTGATGGCAGGTCTCCAGCCATCGCTATCATCTGAAAAGAAAAGACCCATTGCCCAGGTGGGGGCTAAACATGAATGCCACAGATGTGGGTCCCTCCCAGTTCCTCTCCTGTCCTGGTCTGACTCCACAGCCTAAGCCTTAAAAGGGAAATTCATGAATTTAGAAAAGACTCTGACCTGGGAGGAGACTAATTGACTCATCATGATCCCAATGAGTGCTTTCAGGCCCTAAAGTCTTTGGTCCCTTGATTGGAATGTACAGGATCAAACTTTCTGTCCCTACATTTTTATTCATTTGGTTCTTATTAAATTGCTGTTGTTACCTAGTGGTGTCCAGTCACTGCTCAATGAATCCCTGAGCTACTCAAATGAGACCTGGCTCATGGGCATCTTTCTCTCAGATTTAGAGAACATGGAGGGATAAGATGCCAGAGAACACCCCCATGACAGCTGTGAGCACCTTCATGCTGCTTCTTCCCCTACTGCCTCTGATGACAGGGGATCTTACCCAGGAAGGAGATAAGAAGACTTATCAAGGAGGGTGGGGTGTACTTGGCCCACTGTGATTAAAGAGAAGTGGAAGCTGTCAATGGGCAGGGGCTGACACCTGGTTCTATCTCCAGGTGTGTGATGAGTGCCATGTCACCCTGTACAGTCCCCATCCATGACTCCCTCCACAACCTCAGCATTGAGGATGGCCATCAAATCCACTGTCACCCTAACTGGAGGCCACCCCCAAGTCGCAATGATGCAAATAGCATCACAAAGGAGGGTTTGGAGCCTAAATCAGTGTCCCCATCTACCCCTCAAGGCCTGAAGAGGGATGCAGACCTCCTTTCAACCCCATCATGACACAGCAGAGTGTCTGATTGCAGGTGCCTCAGAAAGTAAAGATGGGCAGAGGAGTCAGTAGGCACTGATTCTGCCCAGCTCCATCCTGGAGTGCAACCCTGGACCTGTGTTCTGTCCAGCCCCCATGACAGGGTCAGACTGGAGGGCAGGGTCTCTGCCCAGTGAGAACTTTTGCCTTTGAGAGGTGACATTTTGTCCTATTGTGTTCCAGACATCAAGGACTGTGGACCAAACTCAAGAGTGTCCTGTGGAGTATATTTAGACTGCCAAAACTTCACGGAGTCCTACTGCAGTTGCCACAAAGGCTACAGGCCTGCTTCTGAGGCAATGTTCGGCATTGATCCTGATAAACCCTGTGATGGTAAGAAAAATCCCATGTCTTCCACCTTCTCATTCTTTAGGTTTGGAATTCTCAATCCTTTCTCTAGCTCATCAGATGGTAGCTTGGGCACTTACCAGGTCTCCCACCCTCTCAGAACCCCAAGGCTCTGAATGCCCCCACCAAGTGCCACTTATGCAATTTTGGAACATCCTCTTACTAGTTCACATCTTAGTTTCATAAAACAAAGAAAGGGATGCCATTCAAGATACTTCAAGAGCTCACAGAGTACTGCATTCCAGTGCAATATCCATCCTTTTCTTCTTCATCAGTAATTGCCAGGATGAGATCTTCCCTCACTAGAGTCCACATAGGTTTGACCACCCCAGGAGCAATTTCATATCCCTCAGGCCTTGAAGAACCCTTTTCAGACATGTGAGAAGAGTCAAGGGTTGGCCCATGTGGCCCAGCTGGCCCGGCCCTGGCCAACAACCACACCTGGTGAAACCCCTACTTGCACCCTGACCCCACTTCTCAGCCACTCAGCCACATCTATTTTCCCAAGCAAGGCTCCACCCTGATCCAATCCAATAAGTTCAGTTCATGGGCCTGTGGGCAACTCAGATGAATAGGATCCAGGAGGATGTTGTGTTGGATGTGGGCAGGGTGACATAGACCACCCCACACATACCCAGAAAGTTGGATAAATGGAAGAGGCTCCTATCTGGATAAGATTGAAAGAGAGGATGTAATTGGACACCATTGCCTCAGGCCTGACCCTCTCTGATAGAGGTCAACTCAAGCCACATGGGGGCCCAGACCACTGGGGCACAGATGATGGAGGGTGAGTCTCCCCTCAATAGGACCTATAGGTCTGTGTCCCTGGTGGAAACCAAGAAGCCAGATAACAGAAACAGCTGCCACCCCTCGCCTGTCAGCATCTGCTCCCTTCTTCAGCCACCCAGCCCTTACCTACTACTGGCCTTACTCAGAAGTGAATTCTCACCACTTCCTGTCAGTTCAGGGGATGCCTTTGTGGGGATCATAAGAGGCACCTTCACCACCCCAAGCCTGCATGGCTGGACATCAACCCCCATTGTCTACCATAGCTTGGCATCCACTGTCTGGGTGGCTCTTGCTTGTCTGGCATCATCTTCATTCTCTTCACCCCTTCCTCCAAGCCCCTTGAAGAGTCAGGTTCATGAGTGGGTCTTGGGACAGCTTGAGTCTCAGAGTTAGCATGGAAAGGAGAACTCTGTCCTGCCAGCATCACTCGGTTCCAAGGAGAATTAAGGCAGAGAGCAGCTGTCCTGGAGGAGGCAGGACAAAGGCCATCAATGGGAGCCAAGGGAACACATTTCTCCGGCATTTGGCTCCCAGAAAGGCCCACCCTGGCCTTTGTCCAAATCCTCAGGCTGGGACACAGGTAAACATGATGTCTCCACCCAACCTGGGAGCTGCCAGGGAAGCGAGTGCACAGGGGCTAAAAGACAGGGAGAACTCAGGACACTTCCATCCACATCTGGACAACAGAGCATTGAAGCCACAACATTCACCCATAAGATGCCTCCATGTGAATAAGAACTGGCACCTACTCACTAGGAGGAGAGAGTGGGGCCTTTTCAAAGCACATTTCTGCCATTGCCAAAGAACAAAGAATGTGGACATGGGAAAAAGCAAGCCAACCTGAGGACTTTCTCCTTTAAGATATATCCTCTCCATTGGAAAAGGTTAGAGTTTCTAAGATGTTTCCCTGTCATCAGCTGTTGTATGTTCTGTCCCCTTACCTGTAGCACCTGAGGTTCCCTGACTATCAGTGACTGACTCCTTGGGGAGTCCCAGGAAATGGAAGGAAAAGACAGAGTCCTTGATTCCAAGTATAGAAACCTCAAAGAAGCTGCCAGAAAGCTGTGGACTGCAGGGCCAGAGCCACCTCCCAGGTGGAGTGGCCATGTGGACAGGGGTTGAAATTGGAGCTCCACTTTCCTATCTTGATCATCTTTCTGTCTTTCAGACACAGGACTCGTTTTGCATTTCTTTATGACAATGTTTGCTGCAAAAGAAACTATTAAAGGTGAGTCTGCCTGGGGCACCTGTCAATTAGTGACATAAGCTGGGTAGTGCTTGTTGGGGTCCGGGTCCTCTCATTAACAAGGGGAGAAGGAGGCTTACTCTGAAGAGGCCCAGAGAGGGTCTTCTGAAAATAAGAGAAGCTATTTCTTCCTCCCTAAATGTCCAGAATTTTCTGAGCTCTTCTAAGTCCAGTGGCAGCCATAACTCCCTCTCTCCCCCACTCTGGCATCCACTATCTGGGTAGCTCTTGCTTGTCTGGCATCATCTTCATTCTCCTCACCCCTTCCTACAAGCCCTTGGATCCCAAGCTAGTAGCTGACTTCTTCCATTTCATGGGCCTTCTGACCATGCTCTCCGTACCCACAGCCTCTACCCCGGAAGACTGTGCTTGGTGGTGTCCTCTGAACTCCAAATGTGTCAACGCCACTGCCTGTCACTGTGCTCAGGGATTCCATTCTTCATCTGGAGAGATCCTCACTAGCCCTTTCAAGAGATGTGATGGTACAGGGGCTTGGGGTGGGCATACAGAGATTGTTGGGGGAGCTTATAGGGCATCCAGAGCCCTCACCACTGAGAGCAGCACAGAAGCATTTTGTCAAGGATTAGAGAGAGGAGCTAGGGCAGGGCACTGTGAGGGAGGTGGGCAATCAGGTTTCCGTGATTAGTCTATCAGATGCACTACCCATTCTTAAATTTGACGGTGTACTTTTGTGTGTTTTGTCTATTGAGTTAAAAGAGTTCTTTATATAGTATTTTGGATGTTAACTGTTTGTAAGATATATGATTTGCAAACATTTTCTCCCAAATTGTAGGTAACCTTTTAATTTTTTTTATAATTATAAAGGCAGTGTTTAGTAAAATACATTTCATTTTAAAAATGTAATAGAGTCTACAGACATTATATGTGTTTGTGTGGTTATAGATATATATATAATATATTTATATTATCTCTTTATCCTAATCTGTTTCCTTTGCTATACAGAAGCTTTTTAGGTTGATATAGTCCCACTTATTTATTTTTTCTTTGGTTTCAAATCCAAAAAGTCATTACCAAGACCAATGTCAAGGAGTTCAGCCCTTATGTTTTATTCTAGGAGTTTTATAATTTCATGGCAGTATTGTTTTTTAAAAGATCATAATTTGGCCCAGCCAGTGTTGCTCAGTGGTTGAGTGTCAACCTATGAACCAGGAGGTCATGGTTCGATTCCTGGGCAGAGCACATCACTGTGTTGCAGGCTCAATCCCCAGTGTGAGATGTGCCGGAGGCGCCCAATCAATTATTCTCTCTCATCATTGATGTTTCTATCTCTCTATCCCTCTCCCTCCCTCTCTGAAATCAATAAAAATCTATTATAAATAAAAAAATAATCATAATTTGGAAAAAGAGATTGAGCAAAGTATCCAGTCACACAATTAATAAGGTTGTAGAACTTAGATCCAGTACTAAAACTGGAGTTTTTATTCTTCAATAATACAAGTTCAGAAAATAAAAATATGCTACTTAAAATGATAAGATGGGCCATAACCAGTTTGGCTCAGTGGATAGAGCGTGGGCCTGCGGACTGAAAGGTCCTAGGTTCGATTCCGGTCAAGGGCATGTACCTTGGTTGCAGGCACATCCCCAGTGGGAGGTGTGCAGGAGGCAGCTGATCAATGTTTCTCTCTCATCGATGATTTTGGCTCTCTATCTCTCTCCCTTCCTCTCTGTAAAAAGTTAATAAAATATATTTAAAAAAAAAAAAAAAGAGTGCTCGTCCCCAGAGCACTTCACAAAAAAATAAATAAATAAAATAAAATAAAATAAAATGATAAGATGGTAAATTTATGTTATGTTAATTTTACCACAGTAAACAAATGCCAAAAAAAGAAATTATATGATTTTTAAAAGAACTGTACCTTTTTTTAACATGTTTTATTTGAAAAAGAGAGGAAGGGAGAAAAAGATAGAAGCATCGATGAGAGAGACATCAATCGGCTTCTTCCTACACACCCCTTACTGAGATTAAGCCTGAAACCCAGGCATGTGCCCTGACTGGGAATCAAACCAGTGAACTCTTGGTTCATGGGTTGATGCTCAACCACTGAACCACACTGGCCGGGCAGAAATTATATGATTTTTACACTAAGAAATTCTCTTTATCTACTCAAAATAATATTAGATGCCTATTTATTGATAATTTTAAAATATTTCTCTGTGTTTGAGACAATGAGAAAAAATAATCCCTAAAATGTCCCAGTAGTCTGTATAGTGAACTTATAGGTGACTTTCTTTGTTGTCTTTCTTTACATTTTATTTGTTTTCTAAGTATCCATGTTTTATTTAATATTGGGTGAAAAGTAAATTTTATTAGGGGAAAAGAAAAAAGATGTTGAGTAATGCTCCATCCATTCATGACCCTTGAGGGATTCCTAAAGGATCTTTTGTACATTTGCATGAGTGTGCTCATGGAGATTTCTAGACTGGGTGGACATGGATGGAGACCCTGCTGCTACTGTAACTGGGTCTCAGTCCCTCACATGACTCCACCCCATACCCTTAACCTGCAAGACTCATCTCCAGCCATTGCCCCTATCTGAGAGCAGAAGCATCCTTCATGCTTCTTCTCAGACCTGGTCCTGACACCCACAGTCTAGGATGGGAACCTTAGAAGGAAAACCCACAAGTTCAAAGAAGAAACTTTGATCTGGGGGAGACCAGCTGAGAGCCCTAGCATGTTCTAAAGTCTTTGGTCCTCTGGTTGGTATGTACAGGGCCCAAATATTCTGTTCCTTCACTTTGATTCATTCTTGTGTATGTGGTTCTTATTAAACCACTAGATGCCTGGTGCACAAATTCATGCATGGGTGGGATCCCTCAGCCTGGCTGGCAATGGGGCTGATCTGGACAGGTGGGCAGCAGGGGTGGGGGGTGCTGGGGGAGGAGGCTTGAACGCAGGAGGTTGGCTAGCCACAGGAAGTTGACTGTGGGAACACACTGACCACCAGGGGGAAGCTCCAGCACTGAGCATCTGCCCCCTTGTGGTCAGTGTGTCATCATAGCGACTGGTCAACCAGGCGAGCAGTCATTAGTCATAACAGTTGCTTAGGTTTTTATATACATAGATTGTTTTTAGGCAACAGTGTCCAACTCCTGCTCTGAGCTATTCAAAGGGCATCTGGGTCATTGTCATCTCATGTTTAGAGAATAGAGAGAGATCAGATGCTAGAAGACACTCCAATGACAGCTATGAGCAGCTTCCTGATGCTCCTTCATTTCACACCCCCTTCTACCTCTGATAAGGGGGGTTCTACCCAAGGGGTAAGGAGAGCAAGATTCTCCCAGAGACATCCTGGGGCATCTGTAAAAGACCTGACATTGTGAGCTGGGGGAGTGCCAGATGAGGAGTGTAGGGTGTACTTAGGCCACTGTGAGTAATGGGAGGTGGAAGCCACCAATGGACAGGGACCTGACACCTGGCTCTATCTTTAGGTGTGAGTGATGATGTCACCCTGGGCACTGCCTGGCCATGAGGCCCTCCACAACCTCAGTATAAAGGTGGCCTTCACTGCCACACTTGCCTGACTGGAGGCTACTCCCAGGCCTCCTATGATGCAAACAGCATCACAGGGGAGGGTTTGGAGCTGAGTCAGTGCCTCCATTTACCCCTCAAGGCCTGGAAAGGGGATGCAAACCTCCTGAAATCCCCATCATGACACAACAGAGTGTTTGAGTTTAGGTGCCCTCAGACCAGCCAGGCAGCAGAGATGACCAGAGAGGTCAGCAGGCTCTGGAGCCTCTGAATCTGCCCAGCACAGCCACAGGAGTGTCACCCAGTAGCTAGTTCTATCTATTCTCCATGGCAAGGTTAGGCTGACCTCACACCTTTGGGAAGTGACCCTTTGTCCTGTTGTGTTCCAGACATCGATGAGTGTGAACCATCCTCGACCGTGACCTGTGGAAAGCATGCAGATTGCCAGAACACAGAGGGAAGCTACTACTGCATGTGCAACCAGGGATATGAGCTTGTTTCTGGAGCAAAGAAATTCTGGAAAGAAAGTGAGAACACATGTCAAGGTAAAAATCACCCCACATCTTCCATCTTCTTGCCCTTTGAGACTTGAGGTCATTTGGCCCACTTTCTCAGGCGTAAAAAACAACAACAAAAACATTAAAAAGCTGTCCTAGACACCCACCCTCTCAAACCTCAAGTCTGAGAACCCTCCTCAGAGTGTCACTTCTGGATGTTTGGAGCCCTCACCCCCACCCACCTGATATCTTATTTTCCAGAGAGTGATGACATTTAAGTTCCTTCAGGAACTCACAGTGTTATGTGTTCCAATGCAATATCTGTCTTCTTTGTCATCACCAGTGACTTCCAGAACGAATACTTCTCCCACCAGAGCCCCTGTGATCACAAAAATTCCAAGAAGGCGTCATCAGGAACCACCAATTCACCCAAGGAAGAACACAGGTCTGTGTCCCAGGTGGGATACTAAGGGGCCAGAGGATAGAAACACCTGCTGCCCCTTGCCCATCAGACCCTGCTCCCTCTCCAGCCAGCCAGCCCTCACCTTCACTGGTCTTCCTCAGATAAGGATTCTCAACACTTCCTGCCAGTCCAGAAAATGCCTTCTGGGAGTCAAGGAAAGTACCCAGGTATGAGTGACTGGAGGTCAGCTCCCAGTGTCCAACCTGGACTTGGTGTCACTATCTAGGTGGCCCCATCCTGTCCAGCACCCTTCTTCATTCTTCCTGCCTCCTGCCCTATAGCCTCATCCTTGGGAGCGGGAATTCGGAGTAGCTGGGGGAGGTTCGGGGGAGGGATTTCTGTCACAAGCGTGGTTCTTGGTCCATCTCTATCAAGATGTCTTAGTGTTAGTGTGGAGGGAGAGCACTGCTTTGGCAGCGTCAATGGGATTCCAAGGAGAACTCAGTCAGTGAGGAGCTGCTCTGGGGAAGTTAGAACTAAGGCTATCACTGGGAGGCAAGTCAGGTCCTGACCAGGAAATGCAGCATTTCCCATGCCCTGGATTCCCAAGAAGGCACTCTCTGTCCTCTGTCCAAATGTCCAGGCTGAGACACAGGCAGCTGTGATGTCCCCCACGGTTGCTGGGAACTTCCTGGGAAATTTAGGGGACCTGGGGTAGCAGACAGGTAAGACTCAGGCTGATTCCATCCACATTTGGACAAAAGAGCATCTAAGCCACCACATTATTATGCAATGAGGCTTCCATGTGACTAGGAAAAAGTGGCCACTAAGGGAAGGGGGGACAGTGGAACCTCCAGGTGCTTCTATTCCCAAACCAGGGTCCATAAATTACCAAATGACAGTCTGGGAAGGTACCTGACCTGGGCCCCAAGCCTCAACCTCAACACACACACACACACACACACACACACACACACACACACACACACACTCGCATACACCTAATGAACTGCCTTTCTGTCTGCACCAGGGATCTCCTCCAGCACCAGCACCGGCACCGGCACCGGCACCGGCACCAGGACTGGCACCGGCACCGGGACTGGCACTGGCACCGGCACCAGGACTGGCACTGGCACCGGGACTGGCACCGGCACCGGCACCGGGACTGGCACTGGCACCGGCACCGGGACTAAACACCCTGGAATCAACAACAGCAAGGTGAGTGACTCCCGCAGGGACAAAGAGGCAGGAAATACCTCCGTGCCACCTGCAGCACCCACCTATTTTCCCCAAGTTTCCCCATCTACCTGTGAGGCTCTCTGACCGTCACATCTCCCTTCTCCTCAAAGGTCTCCAGTTTGTTACAAAAATTTGATGATTTCGACAGAGACTTCAAGTCAGCCTCAGATCCCGACAAGATCCAGGTAAGGACAGGACCTGGGGAAGGCAGGTGGAGGCATCCCATAGAGGACTGGGGAAGTCGTGTTTTGGGAAGAGACACAATGCTGCCCTGCTCTGAGTCCCCACTTCTCCCAGGGCGGGTGGGGAAAGCAGACATGCAGGTACTTGTACTCACTGTTAGATCCTCATACACCGACTAACACCTTTCTTGCTGTTCCTGCCCATTCAGTTTACGTCACCCTTGGCATTCAGGAACAGGACTGACCTCTAAATGGCTGGATTGGAGGGGCAATCTGGTACCTCCTTTATCCCCAAATACACAGTATCTAGAATCTGTTTACTGGAGCTGAGTGGGCAAAGTCTTCCTGTAGCCCCTCTAGTGCATGGGCCAATGGCTCTGTGTCCACACCCCCAGGACCTCATCCAGGGGGTGGATGACCTGCTGGAGAACCCTGGGGACCTGGAGACCTTGTCCCACTCAGAGCAGAACTCTGTGGCCACTACCCTGCTCCACAGAATGGAACATGTCATCTTCAAAAAGCTGAGCAAGGCCCCACCCAATGGGTCACTGACCTTTAATGCACCTGGAGGCACAGGTAAGTACCTGGGTCTGCCCCCAGGCTCAGCTCTGTCCATTCTGTACCTCATTCCTCGCCCACCTCACTGGAGCTGAGTGACCACTCATAAGCAAATTAAATGGGGGGATAAGGACACTTATGTAATACCTTAATCAATAAAGAAATTTAAAAATAAAAAATTAATGTAAAAGCTTAAAAAGAAATGAATAAATTTTAATAAGTCAGACAGACAAACAAATACTGAATGCTATCACTTATATGTAAAATCTAAAAAACAAACTCATAGATACAGAGAAGAGATTGGTAGTTGCCAGAGGCAGGGGATGAAGGGTGGTTGAAATGGGTGAAGGGAGTCAAAAGGTACAAACTTCTACTTATAATATAAATAAGTCATGGGGACATACATTGAGTGGCCAGATTATTATGACCGGCCAGATTATTATGACCACCCCATTAGTACAAAGTAGTGAATTAGTTATGCAAATAATAATAATAATAAAACCTTGAGAGTATTTGCTTAGGAAGTTTTCAATATTCAGTATTTTTGGAAGTGTCAATGAAGTACTGATGGGGTGGTCATAATAATCTGGCCGGTCATAATAAGAACCATACTGGTTCTTTCTTTTTAGTGTAAACATAAATTTTATTCATTTATTACCTTTTTAACTTTTCAATTACAATGGACATTTAATATTTTTATTAGTTTAGGTGTACAGCATAGTGGTTAGATGAATATAATTTATGAAGTGATCCCCTAAGAAGTCTAGTACACACTGGGAACCATATATAATTATAATTAATATAATATGACTATATTCTCTATGCTGTACTTTACATTCCCATGATTATTTTGTATCTATCACTTTACTAGTATATATATATATATGATTTCGGCAGAGACTTCAAGTCAGCCTCGGATCCGGGCTATATTATATTGAAATCAATATATATATTGAAATCAATATAGTATATTGAAATCAATCAATATACTATATACATATAGTATATTGATTGATTTCAGAAGGAAAGGAGAGGAAGAGAGAGAGAAACATCAATGGTGAGAGAGAATCATTGCTCAGCTGCCTCCTGCACACCCCACAATGCCCAACCCGGGTATATGCCCTGACCGGGAATCAAACCATGAACTCCTGGTTCATAGGTCAACATTCAACCACTGAGCCACCACAGCTGGACCCTTATTACTTTTTTATCCTGGAATCTATTTTGTCTGATATAAGCATTGGCTACGTCTGCTTTTCTGTGGATGCCATTTGCTTAGAGAATCATTTTCCATCCTTTCACTTTGAGTTTATTTTTGTCTTTGCAAATTAGATGTGTCTCCTGAAGGCAGCATATGATTGGATTTTTTAATATATTTTTATTGATTTCAGAGAAAAAGGGAGGGGGAGAGAGAGATAGAAACATCAGTGAGGAGAATCATTGATTGGCTGCCTCCTGCACGCCCCCTACTGGGGATTCAGCTGGCAACACAGGCATGTGCCCTTGACCAGAATCGAACCTGAGACCTTTCAGTCCTCAGGCTGACACTCTATCCACTGAGCCAAACCAGCTGGGGCTATGGTTGGTTTTTTAAAATATTATTCTATTTTTTCCATCATTTATCCCCTCTATATCCTCTTCCACTTCTACCCACCCCACCCCCCACAGTCATCACACTGTCAGCCATGCTCATGAGTTCTCTTTTTTTTTCTTTTTTGCTCAATCCCTCCAACCCTCCTAACACCTCCACCACCAGAACTATCTGCCTGCCCTCTATCTATTAGTCTCTGTTTTGCTTAATAGTTCAGTTTGATTATTAAATGCTACATATGAGTGAAATCATATGGTTATTTTTTTTCTCTGACTGGTTTGTTTCACTTAGCGTAATGTTCTCCAGGTCCATCCATGCTGTTGCAAAGGGTAACATTTTCTTCCTTTTTATGACAGAGTAGTATTTTATTCTGTAAATGTACCACAACTTTTTTCCTCAGTCATCTACTGATGGAACTGCTTCCAAATCTTGGCTATTGTAAATAATGCTGCAATGAATATGGGGGTGCATATATTCTTTCAAATTAGCATTTCAGGTTTCTTCAGATAAATTTCCAGAAGTGTAATTGCTGGGTCATAAAGCAGTTCCACTTTTACTTTTTTGAGGTAACTCGGATTTTGTTTTTGATCCAATCTGCCACTCTGTGCCTTTTTATTGGTGAATTCACTTCATGTACATTTAGGGTGATTCTTGGTGTATGAGGACTCTCTATAGCCATTTTATCCTTTGTTTTCTGGTAACTCTGTGACTCCACTGTTTGTTTTTTCCTTGTGTTTCTGTCTGTTGTTTTTGTTTGATGGTATTTCATCATTTTTCCCTCTGTTTCCTCTTTCTTCTAAGTTATGTGTCTCAGTTTTGGGTTTTTATATGTAGTTGCCATTAAGTTTACATAAAAGAAATGTTCATATATACAGCAGTCTTTTATCTTTTTTTAATACATCTAATCTCCTGTCACTAATTTTTGACAGGTTTAATACAATGTGCTTTGGAAAAGGCCTTTTGGAATTGAGGTAATTAGGTGTTCTGTTTGCTTAATTCTCTCAATCGTTTTCCAATAGGTGGTGCTGAATCACAAGTTTTTTCGTTCTCCTGAATTGCTCTGGTTTTTCAGATCTCTGAGGGGTGGCGGGAAATTGCCTGTGCTCCCTGAGAAGGTGGGAGAAGCCTTCCTAGTTTACATGCCTAGGTCTTAGGAGAACAACCCCACGGAGGGGGGAGGAAAGGGGGGGAAAGGTGGCAAACGATGGGATGAAATCCCAGTGCTGCCCCTGTATCCAGACACTGCCAGCAGTACACTGTGTGTGTGGGGGTGGGATGAGCTGGAGGAAGTTGATCACTTCCTTTGTGGCTTTGCCCTCCCAGTCATGGTGACTGGCAGGCCTCTGCGGCGTCCACTCTGTGTCTCCACTCGACCTGGGATTAGTTGAAGAGGGTGCCTGTGGCTCATGTAGAAAGTGTTTCCATAGTACCGATTCTTGGGTTTGCAAATAATGTGCTTTGCAACCCAGCACTCACTGCTACAGCTTTTTCTGGGGCCTGCTGCTAGCTCTGGGAGAATGAAAGGAGAGCTCTGCAAGGGTGAGTGGAGGCAACCAGGCCCTGTGGCTTGTTTCTCTGTCTAGAATGCATTTGTCACACAACCGTGGCTGTGCCTCAGTTGTTCTGCAGTTTGGTCGATTTGCATATTAGCCTTTTATTATATAGGATTATTCCTAATACTTTGTTGAATAATTTTGCATGTATGTATATTAGATATTGGTCTGCAGTTTTATTTTCTTGTGATGTCTTTATCTGATTTTGTTTTCAGGATGATGGTGGCCTCATAGAATTATTTACATAATCTTCCTTCCTCTTCTATTTTATGGGAAATTTTACAAAGAATTTGGGTGAATTTTTCCATAAATGGCTGGTAGACTTTACCAATGAAACCATAAGTTATAGGCTTTTTATTTGGGGAAGTTTTTAATTAATGGTTCAATCTATTTACCTGTTATAGGTATGTTCCAATTTTCTATATCTTATTAATTACATTTGGGTAGTTTGTATGTCTCTAGGAATTTCTTCATTTCATCCAGGTTATCTAACTTATTGAATAATTGTTCATAATATTCTCTTATAATCCTTTGTAAATCCACATGATATATATGCCATTATTATGTACACCAAATATTATGTGTTATAGTATTATCATGTTTACTAAATAATACCATTATATATAAACCAGAGGTCTGGTGCACAGATTTGTGCACAGGTGGGGTCCCTCAGTGTGGCCTGCAGGGATTGGGCTGAAACCGGCAGTCCAACACTGCCTGCCGCTCCTGCCTGCGGCTCCTGCTCATCCCAGCCCCACTGTACCGGCCGCGGGCTCGCGCCCAGTCAGTTCCAATCAGGCAGTCCCAATCAGGAGAGGCTCACACCACCACAGCAGTGAGCACTGTGTCTGCTGCCCGTCAGTCAGCTGAGTTGTCACTCTATGTGGGAGCGCACTGACCTGCATTGAGCATCTGCCCCCTGGTTGTCAGTGCACATCATAGTGACCAATCAACCAGTCATTTGTTCATCTGGTTGTCCAGTAGCTTAGACTTTCATATATATAGATAATATATATTATGTAATATATAAATATATAATACATTTATATATATAATATATTAATTATATATAACAGGGTATTATAGCAACCATTGCAGGTTCAATTACTAATCTAACAACCCCACAATGTAACTCCCACAATTCATAGAACTGTCTCTGAAGATAAAGAAGCAAGGAGACAGGAATGTCACCTTGAGTGTTAATCAGGCGAAGATGGTGCTGGACTGGGATACAGTACAGGAATCTGGTGACTCAGGTAAGGCTGAGATGGGGAGAAGTTCACTGAGGTTTCACAGCGGGACAAGATACCCAAGGGTGGGACAAATGGAGAATTAAAGTTTAAAGGAAAGTGTAGGCTATGGTGGGGGCCACAAGAAAAGAGTCTACCTGAGGAAGGGGTCCTGTGGACACCCCAAGATGTCAACCATGGTCTTTTCCTACAGGTCCGTCTACAGTGGGCCTTTTCTCCACACCAGTAATGGGCAAGTTTATGGCTAAAGCCCCCCTAGTTCTAGAAACTGAGGAGCAGTCAGTTCTGAATGAGACACACAAGGGCCTGCTGGAGGAAGTCTCCCCTGTCCTGCTCTCAGATGTCATCTCCGTCTTTGTGAGCAATAATAACACCCAGAACCTAAGCTCCCCAGTCACCTTCATCTTCAAGCATGTGAGTCCTGGTGGGATGGGGCTATAGATACAAAATGAGCCTGATTTCTGGGAATAGACTTCAGGTTCCGGGGGCTCTCCCATGGGTACATCATCTCCCCAGGGAAGCCGATCACAAGCAGGATTTGGGCCAGCATTTCTGAGCACCAGAAACATCAGCTCACACTTTGCCCTGTTCCTACAGTCAGTGACCCCGAGGCCAAAGCAGAAGGTGTTCTGTGTCTTCTGGGAGCCTGGCCAGAATGGAAGTGGTCATTGGTCCACCAAAGGCTGCTGGAGGGTGTGCACTAGAGACACCAGCACCACCTGCCAATGCAGCCACCTCAGCAGCTTTGCCGTCCTCATGGCCCACTATGATGTGCAGGTGAGAGCCCTAAAAGGGGATGAATTTAATATCCATTGCTATGTAATAAATTCCCACAAATGTAGTGTCTTTAAAAAGACACACATGGATTCATTATCCTGCAGAATCCTCAGGTCAGCAATCTGGCACAGCATACCTGGGTTGTCTACTCAGGGTCTCACAAAGACTAAAATGATCATGTCAGCCAAGCCTGTCATCTCATCTGAGTTGTGCAGTTCTCCAAGCTCCCTGGTTGCTGGCAGAATTCAGTTCCTTGAACTTGTAGGACTGATTTCTCACTTTCTTACCTGCTGGCAGTAGAGGAGCACACTCAGCTCTCGGGCAGTGATGGCGAACCTTTTGAGCTCGGTGTGTCAGCATTTTGAAAAACCCTAACTTAACTCTGGTGCCGTGTCACATATAGAAATTTTTTGTTATTTGCAACCATAGTAAAACAAAGATTTATATTTTTGATATTTATCTTATATATTTAAATGCCATTTAAGAAAGAAAAATCAACCAAAAAAATGAGTTCACGTGTCACCTCTGACACGCGTGTCATCACTGTCCTAGGGGCTCCCTGCATTCTTTCTCGTGTACCCCTCCCAAGACCACTCACAGGGTATCAGTATTGCTCACTGGAAGCCAGCAGGAGAATTGCCCTCACATTAAAGCACCCTCAAACTTTGAATCAGGTAAGGGCTCATTTGATTAGATCTGGCCCACACATGATAAATCCCTCTCTTTAAGTTAGTTGATTGTGGACCTGCAAAATGCCTTCAAAGGAGCACCTAGATGGCATTAGACTGAAAACCTTGAGGCGTCTATATGTACACATGCTGGTGGGGTTATGATTGCCAAGCTAGAATTCTGCCACCATGGGGGGTTTTCAGGACAGGGGCTATCAGGGGCTTCAGAAAGGAAGATTTGGTGATGACAAAGTTCAGAGGTACCAGGGGATCCAGTGAGTACAGGTGAGTCAGTAGCCATGTGTGCCTCCTCTCCTGTCCAGTTGATCTGGTTACTTCTCTGGTTCACCAAAACCAGAAACTTGCTCAGGTAACTTCAGGTAATGGGGCATTGACAAATAAATGTGGCACCCACATGAAAAGGATAATAGCCAAGTGGCCAGATCTCATAGAAGCCTCCAGAAGTGTGAACAACACTCCAAGACCATGATTCCTCTGGCCACGTTGCTAGGTAACATGATATTCATACTTTTATTTACATACTGTTTTACATTTATTTTATTTTTTTATAATTAAATCTTTATTGTTCAGATTATTACATTTGTTCCTCTTTTTTCCCCCCATAACTCCCCTCCTCCCAGTTCCCGCCCCACCCTCCACCCTCACTCCCCACCCACTGTCCTCATCCATAGGTGCACGATTATTGTCCAATCTCTTCCCGCACCCCCCACACCCCTTCCCCCCCCCCAAGAACAGTCAGTCCATTCCCTTTCTATGCCCCTGATTCTATTATAATCACCAGTTCATTTTGTTCATCAGATTATTTATTCACTTGATTTTAGATTCACTTGTTGATAGATGTGTATTGTTGTTCATAATTTGTATCTTTACCTTATTCTTCTTCTTCCTCTTCTTAA